TCCTTTCCCAGCTTGGTCACATATTCAGTGTTTGATTTTGAGGTTTAGAGCCACAAAGAATTTCAAGTACATGCCTTTTTTCAAATATTTTGACATCTTTGCTTTGGTGCTGCTTAGAAGAATGGATTAAGATCTGTTATCTATGACAGCCCCGTTGGGATGACCTGAAGTACAGGTGATACTTATGGGCACTTGGCTGACCCTGATTGAAATCCTGGTTTTTATTCTGTTGAGAGTTTTATACATTTGAAGGCTCTTCCAAAACATGTCATATACTGTTCCACATCAAGCTGGCATGTGAAGCTAGCAGAAGGTGTCATCAGGGCAGTACAGCGCTACAGAGGTAAATTCTGCTGTTTCAAACATCACAGTCAATGACAAAGTCATATAGAGGAGAGCAAAAGCCAGCACAGCACTTGGGAGATTAAAGCCGCATGTCTAGAATGAAAGAGGTATCTGATTTCAAACAAAAGTAGCTATGCATCACACAGTTGTCATCACTGGTCTTCAATACGACCACAAAACTTGGACAATTTTACATGCTGTGTTAAACATCTGAATAGATTTCACATGTGTCTTCATGACCTTCGTCTTACAGGTACAGCAGGGTTGCTTCCTCGACACTGAGGTCACTGATTTTTAGATATTCAGCAGTAAAGTAAAACTGTTCAGCTATACTGCTCCAAGTATCTGGTGGATATGAACATCAGGCTCGTCAAAGCCATCTTCTCTGTCCAGAGTAGCAGAGCAGGGCTACATTGGTAAATCAATGTAACATGATAAAAAGTCGCTCAGGGCATATCTTAATCTATATGACATTAAATTCATAATAAATTCCATCTGTTCTGGCAAAGAATGTAAAAGCCTACGAACAAAATTCTGAAGAGCACAGCCGAAAAGTGAAAGCAAACATGGTGGATATAACAAGCTGCCTGTGACAACCGAGATGAGGTGCACAGTGAAAGTCAGGATCATTTCTCCTGAATTAAGCCATGAAAACTGATAAGTTTCTGGGAGATTCCATCACAAGAACCATCATAGTTTTATTCAGGTATCTAACTAGTTAGACAGCAGGCAGTGAAGCTAATACTGTTCATGTAAACTAAAAACATCGATTGAAGAGATGCCTTTTCCTGTTGAATTGAAACATGAATTTATTGGAAGAGATTATCATTGCATATTATTTCCATTAAATTAGCTCTCCCTGATTATGAGCTTTATCAGGAACAGAAATAAACGTCAGTCCTCCAGCAAATAGTTTAAATGAGTTAGCTTAAAAACTGCATTAATCTGTCTTAGCTATCAAATGATGCAATCAAATTTTAACATGATGTGCTCATAAATGAAGTAGGAACAAATGTAAAAAGTTGTTATGGTGACTGGAACACTGGTGTTAAAATTATGGATTCCAAATAGTTGCAAAAAAAAAAAAAAAAAAAAAAAAAAAAAATGAATTTCTAAGGTAATTGGAATTTCTTTCAAAAATTATGTATCAACATCATTTTTCATCGTTTCAGCAAATTGATCTGATGGTCTTCTAATGAAATAAAATTAATGAAGAAGAATGTTTTAATAGCTTATCATATAATCATAAAATGGCCTAGGTTGAAAAGATCATCTAGTTTCAACCTCCCTGCCATGGACAGGGAGGACATAGACCAGGCTGCCCAGAGCTTATGAACTACTGTCATCTTGATACTTCTGATCATTGTTACACGGTACCATCTTTTTCCATACATGTGAATTAATTGGACATGAATGTTTTGTACCTGAGCAATATGATTGCTGTTATGTATTGCTTTAACATTGCTCATATTTTTCTCCAATCCATTGAGTTCTACATTAAAAAAAAAAAAAAAAAAAGGCTTTCTTTTTCACTTTGTAAAGGCTTTTTTCTTAATCTTATTGTTATTTGGCTCTTCTAATGTGTCTGCAAAACCCTGTCCTCAGTAAGGCATCAAGTGTTGTAGCAGCAATAGCATTAGTAATTATGAGGCCATGTTTTCAAACATTTTACAAATCTGAGTGCACACCAGTTGCTGAATTCCTTTGGAAATGTGTTCTAGGATTTCCTAAGCTGTGTGGTTGCATTTTGTACATTTTGTGGTTATGCTGATGGTACACCTTGAATCTCAGGTGCTTTACTTAACCCAGAGAGTGGTTAAGTAAATCAGTGGTACAGTTACTGTGTCATGTTTATTATGTAGGATCACAAGACCTATAATCATTTTTTCTATGAGGCCAAACTGCAGATTGCATATAACATCTGTATCCTTCTTAGGGAACATTCTTAATTTCCTTAGTAATTTCCATGAATTTTATAAAATCAGAGGATGTGTGGGACTAGTCAATATTGCCAGATTTTATCTATCTCTAATGCTTATGTTTCACTAATATCTCAGTCCTGTGAGAGAGAATAGAACCTCAGTATCTCGTTCCATTACCACTGGAGAATTCTATAGCTGCATCCTTTAAGCTAGTGATTCTTGTCCTTCTTTTATGCTCCTACTTCATGTCTCTTTAATGACGACTCTACAATCTATAGAAACAGTATTTGAAGGCATTTTGTTGTACTACTCATTTTTTAACTTTTCCAGAAAAAAATAATTCAAGGCAGTTACCCTGTAAATGAAGGAAGTGACATTAGTTTGACGTGATTTGTTTGTTTGTTTGTTTAATCTCTGGTGGCTCTTTCTTATCATTTTAATTATCTCCAAGGTACTTACAAGTGACTAGCTTAATAGTTTGGTATCTTTGTTGATATCAAAATGAACTCAGGATTCATACTTATTTGGGAAGGTTGGAGGAGAGGTGTGTGTGTTTTATTTTATATATAGGCAAAATATTCTCCTTCTTATGGTTATCTAGAGTCACCTTCAACCTCTCTGAGCTCGTAAAGATGATTATTATTCATTCAGAGATTTTGTTTTCTACTTTCAAGAAAATTATGTGATTCTCTTCTGCACTGAATTCAACCAGCCATCTCCTTCCTTTTCCTTTGGTTCATCTGTTTGAGGTTGCTAACATGGATGAAGAAAATTTGATTCCTTCTGTAGAAAATACTTTTCTTGAGTTAGGAGTGAGGTCTTGACAGAACTTGGATCTTTACACTTGAATGTGTTTAAATAAGTTAATAAAAGAAATGTGGCCAATTTGTAAAGTTCTCTGGTGCTTGAAGAAGCACTCAGTGAGGTAGGTAGTTGTGTAACCGCAAGGTGAATTCTGCTTCACTTTAAACAGTTGTATGGAGAAAAAAGAGTAAAAAAAAAAAAAAAAAAAAGCATCAGGTATTTAGCATGCAAAAGACACTTCATTTCTGTCAGCAAAGCCAGGCATATTGAAGCAGGCATTGTAAAAAAGCATGAGACCACCCAAGCAGTCACTTTATTGTATATATGACTACAAATGAATAAAAGCATATGGTGACAGCAGGTCTCAGGATCCAGCTGAACCAGGAAAAAGAATCAAACCTGCAGATCTTGATGCAAGACAGTTGTCCTGTTGGGAAGTGGGACCACACACCTGTGTGCACATGCAGCCAGTGGGCTGAGCCGTGCTTTTTCACTTTTGTGTATTGTTTCTACTTCTGAACCACAGAGACATTTAAAAGGAAAGAAAGTAGTTGGTGCAAGTCCTTTAGTCACAGAGCTTACTTTAAAAAATAAAAAAATAAAAAAAAAATAAAGAGAGACTAAAGCATGCAGACAAAATGCCTGTGTTTCTGTTTAAATACGAACATAAATAGTGAAGCTTAATCTGTAGATTCTATCTGTATATCTGTGCTAGGACTGAGAAGCAAAGGCACCAGGAAAAATGGGAGAAATCCCTATATTCTCTGCAAGTATTTTTCCTCTGTAGTGGAATTCAGAACTCTACATCCAATAGGGAAGAGACTTAGTGCAATGATGTTGCTTCTGTGTTGCAGAGAATTCACTGCTGGTTTTTTTTTTTTTATTTCTACTTTACCCTAGTTCCACTTTGAACTTGGTATTCAGGACAAGAGAAATGAGTCTAAGCAGCAGAATATTTTTTTTGCAAAACTGCACCGTTCCTGCTGTGTCTGGATTTGGACAAAACTGAGGACAAAACAAAAGGAATGAATTCGTTTGGAGAATGCTACTAAAACTTGGAAAATAAACTCTGTGCGGTATGATCTGTGCAGAAATTTTTGGCTTCAGAATCAACCTTAAATTCTTTGGCAAGTAAGCCACACAGGCCAGATACAAACCACAAATACATTTCACTTTTGCCAAAATAGAGCCTTTATCCTTTCTAATTTGTTGCTGGATGTCATACTTGCCCATTTGGTTTTGGAAATAAATATTCTATCTTTGAAAATGTTGGCTGCTTTGGAAGTGAAACCTGTTTTTTTAAAGCTATAAGATTTCCTTTTTTTTTTTTTTTCCCACTTTTTTCTTTTTTTATTTTTCAAGAAGAGATTTACAGTTTGTGGCTGGTTTTTGTTATAGTTTGGACTATCTGAAATGAAGACTCTATCCTCCAATACAATGTGTAGATTCAGTGTATTCCTTAGAATTGAATGCAATTTCATAATACTGCTGTGAGTTTGAACAATAGCAATTTTGTCATCTAAAATCTGTGAAAGTTTAAACATACAGAAAAAAAAAGATACACCATAATCATAAGGAAATAGTGATATAGCTGTATTCCTCAGTTTTGATCCTAATTTGGATCAAAATCAGAGAATGTTTCATACATATAACAAGATAATAGACAAAAATATTGGTTTCCAAATTAGAAATGCTAGTGTATTTCCATTTACATTCTTGTATAATTTGCTGGGGGAAAAAAAAATATCTCTAATCCATGAGCTATACTTTTTCACTGCAGAGTTCTACAGACAATGAAACAAAAAAAGCACCAGTGACCTTTTAGTAGAGAACCATATCCGTGAAAAGCAGAAGTCAGAATGGAAAATTGGAATTTCAGATGCATGTATTTCTTTCCTGTAAGATTTTATTTTTGATTCTTTTGTTCAGAGTCTTTGGACACATCAGTTACCGCTCAGACTGGGAACTGGTGAAGGTGGACTTCAGGCCATCCTTCCCCAGAGAGTGCACTGATGATGACTATGAATCTTGGGAACTCACAAATCTACAGGTATTCACTGTATATGCCAGAATTTTTTCATATCTGAAAGAATTGTTCACTATTGTGAGCTAGGAAAATGCTTTCTAACAGAATTTGGATGTCACCTTCCCAGCTCTATTCTCCTTTGGTTGATATTTTGCTGATTTTACAATTGTTAAAAGTTGGAGGGATAATTTTGTGTTCCCTTTAATTGTGCAAAATGTGTCCTGGGAAAGGCAGCAATATATCTAGTGGTCTTCCATAATAATAGGTGGTCCTGCTGGATTATGATGCGTCTACCATAAACTAAGATCTCTAATATTGATTGAAGCAATTTCAAAATGCAGTTGTATGTACTGCCAACTTCCTGACCACATACTGTACTCACATAAATTGCCGTAAGTAAAGCCCATTCCAGACGTAATTTAGGATCTCAGTGGACTGATCATGTAATAGAGTCCAGTTGTTTGGGGCAATACCATTTCTGTAGTTAATGTATTAAGGCTGTGCAAATCCCGCTTCTCTGGCCAATTCTAATTTTGGGAAGCTACGTTCTCTGTGTAATGTATGATTAGAGACCAACGTGAGGATTCTTACATTAAATGTGATATGTCATATTTATAGTCATTCTAATTATTTTGTTTGTTTCATCCAGTATACTTGTTCTCTTGCTTTCTGCAGGTTTCCTTTTTTCCTTTTTGTACACAACTCTGTTGTTATTCTAGCTCTCCAACTCTCATTTGCTAGTTCTCACACATAATTTGCAATTGCTTCTTGTTTGAAATCGTTGTGTATTTTGAGAGTGTTATGCACATCTGAGCCTAGAGAGTGACATTATTTGGGTACACTGACTTTTAGATGTCTTTCAGAAAATGGAAGCAACTAAAATATCTCTGACAGAGTACTTACAGCTGCCAAATTACCAGTGGAGTGTTAGCTTCGAGAGTGTCTTAGTACTACCTGTCTCCGTGTGCCTAGTGCTTCCTATTGACTGCATACACGTGATGTGGTTGTTTAGAGAGAAGTCCAGCCATCTGAAGGCTGAGTTTTTAAGTACACATTTGTAGGCTTGTGCCTAGATTGTGCACACATGAAACGTGGGTTAAATTGTACCAGAACTTCTGTGCACATCTTTGGATTTGTGTCCTGAGACAGTGTATGCTACAACCGTGTAATATCCCAGTAGTGCACGTGAGAACTTTGTATGACAGTCCAGTTGAATTGAATGTGAAGTATTTTTTCTTCTTTGCTGAGTCTGTTTTCCTTCAGTCTCTGTCTTAAGTTAATTGATCACATTTTTATAGTCATATCATAGATAATTTGCTGTAAATTTCTCTAGAAATTGATGAGTTGAGACTTGATACCAGTGTCCAGTCTTGGCAAAAAGACCAGACTTTCTCCTGACAATTTCAGATTGTGGCTTTGTGATGCAGGTTATAGCATGCAATAAATCTGGTGCTTTGATGTTTAGGGTGATCGTTGCATCATGGGTCAACAGAGGAGCTTTCGGAAGAGGAAGATTTCATCGTGGTGCATTAAAGGCAGAAGTTTCACTTCAGCTCTAACATCCAAAGTCTGTGAATGTGCGAACTCTGATTTCTTATGGTGAGTCTGTGGATCTTCAGATTCATCATTAGTGAAATGTTATTTAGAGTTTGAGGAGTTTATTTTCCTCCTTTTGCACCACTCTTGCGTGGCTGTGTACAAGCAACCAAGAAGCAATGTGGTAGTTTTGAATAAGAGGTAGCTTATGAATTTGTTTTTGTCTGAAAGCGTTGCTGTGCTTTAAGTATTTGACTCACCTGACTGAAGAAATCCCAATGTTTTTCTCTGTTCAAGACTTGAAAAATGACCATTGAATTGATTCATGGGGCAATTAAACCCATTCTGTTTTAAGAAAAAATAAAAATTAAGAAAAATACAGAAGGGATGTATTGGTCTGAATGGCAAAGGATACCTTTTAAAAATCTAAGCTGCCAAAAAAGTTAATTTTGCCGAATTGGCAAAGTAATTACAACAATTTTTGCCCCATTGAAACTACACTCAGAACAGGAGTGGCTTCATCAAGCTGTGTGTTCAGCCTGTAGCAGATACTTTTAAAGATCTTTACTCTTAAAGAAGTAGTCTCATCCACCCAAATTGGGTTGGTGAATAAGGTGGGGATAGTAACACACTTGGTGTTGATGTTTTCCAGTGATTATGGGTTTGAGCGCTCTGCACCTCTGAAGTCACAGTCTAGCAAGTGCTTTGCTGACTTTTGGTTTAACCCAGAAGCACCTCCTGAAGACTGTGTGCTGGGGCAGGCATACACCAGCAGCAGTGGGTAAGTCAATTTTGGGTTTGACTGGTTTGCATGGTCTTCCATAGTGGAGGAGAATGTTCTGACCAAGGACTACGAAAATGGCTTTGGGGAAGTATAAATAGGGCAAACTGTAAAAAGAAAAAAGAAAAAAAAAAAATAGGAAAATGCAAGTGGTAAGCTGCTCTGGCTCAGAGTTACAGCTCATGCAGAATCTTTCTACAGACTAATGTAAGAGCAGTGTTACTTTACTTGTTCACAGCAGTTCAATAAACTAATTGATTTGAGGAGAGAGAGAGCTGTCTTGTTCCCAATATTTTTTTTCTAACTGCTGGGACAGCTAATAAGCATTGCTATACTTCTGATAGTAATGCCCATTCAAAGCCTTTTCTTTTAGCTCCCTGCATAAATCCAGTTAATTACTCAGAGGAGTAAGTAATGTCTCACAGAACTTTCCACCGTCTCTCACTTCCACCAGTGTAAGGAGCTCTACAGAGAATAAATTATTCTCCTGGCCATATGGGATACTCAGAATCAAAGTAAAGCTTTAGTAACTGTAAACAATAGTGCATAGAGTACACACTACAATGTAGTCTGACGTCTGTGCTGAGAATAACTTGCAGCTGGCATCTATTCTGGCTTATCATAACATCATCTCTGTTGGTTGTGGAGATGCAAACCAAATGATGAAATGTCAAATCTGGCAATAGAATCATAGTCTTTGTGTATATTTGCCTTACTGAGGAAAATGATGCCTTTTGGGTTGTGGCTGACAGCTGTGATATACAGAGTTTGAATTCATCAGAGTGAAATCTGACTCAAATTTTTAAGAATGTTTAAAAATAGCATACCTGATTGAAACTGATCTGTAAATAATTGCTGTACTTCCAAGTGTTTCTTTATTAGCTCTTATTACACTTCTAGATACATCCAATTATTTATGTCGAAAAAGAGCTCAAGTTCATCAAGGTCATCAAGTTCAAGCTTTTATTACTATAATGTGAAATAAATGTTATATGTTTTAAGAAATGCACAGATTTGAGAACAGTATATAAGTGATTGGTTCTGGGTTAATGCAGAAGTTACTTGCTTTAGTTTATTTCTGATCTTTGGAACTTGAATCAACTACATGTAAAGCAGAGTGGGATAGGATTGAGGCCTGAGTTTGGCAGTACATGTGAGCAGCAAAATCCTGAGCCAAGACCCTTGGAGCACTGAAGGCTATTGAAACCTTCATGGCTGGGGAGGGGCAGAAGGTGTTGAGAGAGAACAGCAGAATCAGAACTGATCAGGCATGTTTCTGAGTTTTAAAGGATAGACTCTTCCAATGCATGCAAGTGAAATCCTGATCATTCTCTAATCCCACTTTCTTCATCAGATTTCACTCAGTAGAAACAATGTCCTCGAGCAAAATTTTTTTGCGTTATGAGTTGATTTTGGTCATCTACAACATTTTCTGTTTATGAACGCAAGCAATATTCATTAGCTACTGTCACGCTCACATTTGGTGCCTACTGCTTGCCTCCAACTCGCTGTGCTCACTGCTTATTGTTTTTGCAGGTACAGGAAGGTTGTTTCTAATGTGTGTGAAGGTGGTGTAGACCTGCAGCAGAACTTAGCACAGCATTTGTGTCCATTGATTGCTCCCAAGGGACTTCAGATCAGCATCAGAGGAGAAAGCTTGGCTGTTAAGCCTGGGGAGGACATCACCTTCATTGTCAGACAAGAGCAGGTAGAAATTAACACTGTCTTTATGAAACTTTACTTGCTATTTTTAGAGATCATCTTTCTCCTACCTGCTTTGCTGCTGAATGAGATTAATTTGTGCTTGAGACAAAGATGAATGACTCTGTAAATACTGAAACTTACACTTCCAAGAGAATCAGACAATCTTGTAAACTCTGTGAACCATGAAGTTCTGTCCAGAGAAAGGGACTTGTCTCCTTAGCAGCATTTCAGTTATTATTCCTTAAAGGCTTCTGCTTATTGGAGAATCAAAGGGACTAAATTAGCAGAGCCTCCTTGAACTGGAAATTTCACGTTGTATCAGAGAAGAACAGAAATGCTGAGAACCCTTGATATTCTTGTTTAAGTGCTTTTGAGAATCTGCCTTTCAGGAAGGAATCAGGCAAAGCTTTACAGAAATCAGCAAATACCACAGCATAAGAACATTTATAATGTATTAGTTATGTTGCCAAAGGATTTTTTTTTCTTTTTTCTTTTTCTTCTTCTTTTTCCTGTTTATTGGAAGAGACAATACCCTGAGGCCCTGACCAAAGGCAAGGAGTAACTTACAGATGTGGTTATTTGCCCTGGGTATGTTTCTTAATGCTTGTGTTTTAGTATTAGGTTCTAACTGTTGTGATCCGGTTACAGAAGTATTTCCTGACTAACCTCAACTATTTGCAAAAAATTGAAGAAAGTTGGCAAACCTGTGTGACAGAAGTTGGGCACTTGACATTTTATTTCTGTGAGAAAATCTAGGCAGAACACAGCTCTGCCTAATCCACCCTCAAGTTCTTGTTCCAAAGGCTTTGCAGATCACTAACAGTGGTGTAGCAAGTTGTGCTTCCTTCTCTTTTCTCTAACTTGTTTTGAAATGTTTGCTGTAAGACTAGAGCATTTGATTGTAATTTGGAGTCTAACAGTTTTGATTGGCAGTTTCACTTTTTTTCTTCCTTTTCAAACAAAAAGTTCTGAAGCCTTCACGAGTCTCTCTTGGCAATAGGCAAAACTCATACAATTATTCAAAACTCTTCCAAAGTCAGGAATCCTGAAGGGAATCCCTATTTTCTGGTAAAGTCTGCTCAGCGAACAGAACTGAAAAGGAGATTTAAAGGAAATGTAACAGTTTGCTGCCCCCTATGGCTAAGAATAATATTTATACTTGAAAGTCCTGGCCATTGGGATTTAATATATATGATAAAGTCTGAAGAGAGTTCTTATCAGTTAGAGAGTTTAAGAAGCAGTCCCACTAAGGTGGACCAAAAATACTACTTTCTTTGCTTGCTGAACAATATTAACTGACTGATTTATGTGAAGGTGCACTGCTGAGTGCAGCAATACCAGACTCCAGGAAATAAGGAAAGTAGTTTTTGAGGCCCACTTGAGCAGTTTGCAAATGATCTTAGAAATAATAAGAAGAAAATTACTTTTTTTTTTTTTTCTTCAAATTATTTAGACTGGATTTGTGAATAAATAATTGTACAAAAATTATTTATTTTGTGTGGAAGTTAAAGTACCAGTTTCTTTAAATTCCTTTTCTCTGTGTGAATCATTTGCTGTCCACCACTCTCTGTCTTTCCTGATCAGGAAAACAGAAGTGCCCTGCTTTTTTGGAGACAGCAGTCCCATCTTTACGATAAGGAAGATATTAGAATAAAACGTTAAGAGAAACTTGCATGTAGTTGATTTCAACACTGGTTTCTCCCTCACCTGGAGAAAATACGCATGTATGCTTGTTAGCATAAGAAAGAGCTAACAAGAACTATTTGCAAGCTAATGTCATCTAAAGAGATGCCACTTACTGACACATTGCTAGCAAGCAGACATCTCTTTTGCTTTAAACTTTAATAATATATTTTCTGGTACCCATCCGTTGTCAAAATAAAGATGTTATTCAGAAAAAAATATTCACAGTGAAGAAGCTTTCAAGGTCCTTTATGTGTGTTGAAATATGATGTTAGGTGTTTGATAACCCTACAGGTTCTTATTCTGAGTACTCTCTTACAAGATAAGTAGTGCTCTTTCATCTGATAAAACACGGAAGAAAATCAACCAAACTGCAAAATAATAAACGGAGAAAAAGAGTGTATTTTTCTTTCCTTTGTAATACAAGCATTTGAAAATTCTAGGCTTTGTTACCTCCTTTGATTTTACATTAATGCTGCCTTTTGAATTGGATTTTGATGCAAAACTATTTCACAGATTGGCTTATGGGAAAGGGAGGTGATTTTTCAGTACTTCAGGGGGTGTGAGTCCTTGTCAGGTCTGATTGCCATTCAGCTTATCTGATGAGCGTATACATTCCTTTCCTCTAGGCTGATTTTTAAGCTAATGCTGTCTTTTCAAAATATGAAGGATTTCCTATCAAACTTGGCCTTACAAGCCATTTTAACTTCCATGGCAGTAGTGACTGCGCTGTGAAATGCAAGCAGGGGTATATTGCTGAATACAGAGGCAGAAGGGCAAGTCACTAAGGCACTGCTGCCAGTGGTGTTAAGAAAGTGCTGTTGCTCACAGCTAAAACGAATCTTCCTTTCATGCAATCCGTATGGCCAGTCCATGTAGCACAGGCCTGACTTCTCTTCTGAGCAGACACACCGTGACAGCGTATGAATGATGGGCTTAAATTTGTTCTCTGACAACAGTATCCGTCATTGCAGTACTTTAGGCCTGAGTTTAGGAAGACGGTGTTGTTTAAAGGAGCACTTAGCAGAAGTGCAATGAATTGTAAATTATGTGAGATGCTTGATGTGACAGAAGTATTTGGCTGGTCTCTTTACTAAACACAGCTCAATGCTCTGCTTTGTCAAGCATGCATATCATTTTGCAGAGTAGCATGCCAGTTCTAAACATGCTGGTAACTCTGTATAATGCAGTACTACTTTGTAGAAGCTACCAGCTTGTGTTCTAGGTGTCATACAGTTGACACAAGGAGAGTGTAGTTAGAAGGTGCTATGAAGATGGTCTGAGCCTGTTCTGCTTGCTAATTGCACAAGCCAGAAGTTCACTGCAAGTCAGTTACCACAGGTCACTGGATAAGTAGTAGTTTGGAATCACCAGATCATAGTTCCAGAACTTGGAGCTGCCCTGCACCATTATATTAATTAATGTCCAGAAGTATTAAGAGTGATGATATTTGTATCATACTACTTGGCTTAGTGGCCTGGGGTTTTTTTCTAGTGTTGTTATTGTTTTTAAGATTAAGCCTTACTGAAGAAAGTTAGATTTATCTCTGTGAGTGCATGCAGCATTTGTTAATCTGAAGTCTTCACAATAAGTTTACAGGTTTTAGTGTAGCTAAAACTTCTACTGCTATGGAGTAAAAACATTTGGCTGGTGCTGGAAGTGATGTTGTGATTCAGGAAATGGTTAAAATAACATGCCCTGTCTACTTAGGTTCTGACCATTTGAAATGTTGATATATTCTCCCTTTAGGGTGATATATTGAATACCAAGTACCAGGTGGATCTTGGAGATGGCTTTAAGGCGATATATGTGAATCTTACAATGACTGGGGAACCCATCCGTCACCGTTATGAGAATCCTGGGATTTACCGTGTCTCCGTGAAGGCTGAAAACGTTGCTGGACATGATGAGTCTGTAGTGTTCGTCCAAGTCAACTGTAAGTCAACCCTCTGGTTTTCTTGTTTTTACTGCTGCATACAAACGTTGTTATAGTTGTGAAGCAGTTGAGAATGTTACTAGTCACATTTAGGAAAAATACATATTTTTTTTTCAATAACCTCATGCAATTGTGCATTGCTATGTGCTGTTAGTGTACAGACTTGTATAAAAGCACGAGAGAGTTAGTTTTGTTTAGATTTGGGAGAAAGATGGTATATTAATCTTTCAAATAGCAAGCATTCCTCAGTTCAGTTCTCAGATTTTACCCCTCTTCCTGACTCAAGACCTTGTTGGCAGACTTAGCAGCTAAAATTTAGAACTTCAGGGTATGTCTTTTTGTGTTGTAAGAAGCAAGAGAACAGACATATTGATAAAAGTATGAGCTCTTGTATGACTTTCAAAAAGCATGAGTTGATAGAAGGATCAAAATCTCAACATTTCTAAAAGTCAGGCCACTTATTAAAGTCCTTAAGTCTACTTTTAGGTAGTTAATTCTTACAAAGTTTTAAAGTATTACTTGGATTTAACTTTGTATTGACATGCAATATAACTTGACTTAGACCTCTCTCCCTATCTTCTTAATTAAGACCTAAAAATCTCATTGAATAGATTCAAATGAAAAGAATAGTGAGGCACAGGGATATCACACACGGTAGCAGACTTAATGCACCTCAGGCATCTCTTAATTGAAATAAGGAAGGAAAGTCATAACTGATACAAAATTTTCCTCTTCCTTCGAGATTCAAGACAGCTATCACTTTGTCTGTTTTTAGATCTGTCAAAAAATGTAAACAAGTAACATTCAGTGAAAAGATATACTCATCTCGTATTCTTCAGTTGTCTGTTTCCCCTGATGTGAGTGATGTCTTCCATACTAACAACAGAAAGCAGTGGAGCCACATTGAAGTCTGTGCACAGATCCACATGTTTTATGTCAGCCTGTCTGGTGGCTGCAGCTGTTTCTTCTTTTTTGCTCTTCAGAGCCTGAATCCAGAGTTTCTGCTTCTGCTTTGATTAACAGGTGGAGCCCAATCCACTAATGTTAATGGCTAATCTCCTATTAAAATCAAAATGAAACGATTGAAGTCTAATTTTCCATCTCCGTTTCATTACCTGTTTGTTGTTTTTGCTTTTTACATAATTTGACAACTCCAGACAGCTCAGATTAATTACTAAATGTTTTACCTTTACTTTTTAGTAGCATCTGTGTGTTTAGAAGTAGATTAAGCACAAAAGTAGTTGGTAGATCTCCATAAGCAAGGAATGGCAACAACTCTGTAACACCATCTCTCCAGGGAGAAAATCTTCATATTTTTTAGGGAATGACAAACTGTAACAGGCACCAATGGAAAGCTGAACATCTCCTTTCTCAAGATATGCTTCTGCTTTGATCTACATCTGGATAAACAGTTAAAATAAAAGATGTAAATTGTGTTTTATGCAGTGGATTTATAACTTATATTTCTCAAAAATACAATGACTGGGTATTTCAAATGACTTTGGTGCTGAAGTACAGAATCAACAAAATACTGCAAGCAGAGTTAGATGATTTCAAAGCTCATCTTGAGCTTCTCCATTAGTGCTGTAAGTGATCTAAAAGACACATGGACACATGTTACCCAGCATGCTTGAATAAACACTTCAGATGGGGTTTAAACTGTTTAATTTTTAAAGTAAATTACAGGATTTGAGGAATTAGCTGGCACTAATTAAGTGATGTATCTGCCTTCTAGAGAAACACTAATAGCTGCTCAGGGCCATTTTTCATTGTGGTGTGTCATGCAAATAGAAATGTCCAGTGTCCTGTTTTCACTGTTTTCATCTGATTTATTTCAAGAAAAATTTTATGAAGGACAAATAATAAAGGAAATATTTTTAACTCCTGTGAGATTTGGTTGGTATGAGAATTGTCCTGTAATGAAGGACAACCATATACATTTTGGCCTGTTATCCATGCTTGCTGATCCAATTCACAAACAACTTTTTATAAGCTGTAAGAGATATTAAAGCAAGTCTGAGAGCATACATGTGAATAGATAACCCAGAATAAAAAGAACTCAGGATGAAGTAGACATATTTTTCTTCTTCATGCCACAAAATCATAGTAACTATAATAACTACAGTGTGTGAATATGATTTTTTTTTGAGAGTGTAGAAATTGATATAGAGAAAGAAGCTTGAAAAACTATACAGAAATTGTAGCCTTGTTAAGTAGAAATATAAGTCAACACCATTCCTCATTATGTACGTTTAGGATGTATGAAGGTTGTTCAAATACATTTGGAATTATGTGACTGAGAAGAAAAGAAAGACTTGCTGTAATTATTATTAGCTCTTTCCTATGCAGAAATGGTCAACTCTTGATTCAGGAGCCAAACATCTTCCCTTCCCCTACAAAAATTTTGAGAAAAGACAGTAACCTTGTTCAGAACGAAAGCTGTATCTCAGGATGATCAGTTTCCTGTGTGAGAGTGGAAAAATATGGCAAAATCAGAACAGTGGTGCAGATTCCTCCCAGACTTCTTTATTTTGCATAACCAGTAAAAAATATATATTTCTTAGAGGAGAATATTTAATGGAATTTCTACTATTTCTGAGTTTTCCTCAAGATGCCAGCATCAGGAAGAGCGTTTTAATGCAAAA